CACTTAACAAATGTCTCACTTAAGAACATAAATTTTGGGCTCAATTGTGGTGGTAAGTTGAGGACTCCCTGTATTACTGTACAGACTTATGTATAATTTGGACAACCCAGCCACTGAACTGGACATTTGAGGGAAAAAAAAACAGTAGAATGCTAATGTAAATATTCCTTCAAGTCTTCGTTCAGTTTCTGGGGTTTTAGCCTGCAGACCTGATATTTCTCATACAGTATTCTCCCATCACTTCCCCCCAAAAAAGTTACTGTGCATTTGGACATAGGATAAATTTCTAAGCAATTGCCAATATTATGATCTCACTGAAATATGAGTAGAATCAACATTTTAGATTTTATATCATAATTATCGCTAGGCAGACCTTAGCACACCAGTAGTATTAGAAGGTGTCATATAAGTAGTTTTCATTTTTTTTAGGATCAAGGAAAATGCTCTGGTTAAAATGATAGTGGCACAATGTTTAATGTGTTTTATGGAAGCCTTTAGCTATTTTTTCATTTCTATCTCCCCTTCAATCTTAATCAAATTTCTTTTTATATATATGTCTACTTTAATGTGGTGCTTTCCAGACAGTCGCTTCCAGATGTGTTACCACAAGTGCCAAAATTCAATCCCAACACACCCGGTGATCAGCATATTAAAGGTTGAGACACTGTTTTAATAGTAGCCTGATTCTTTCTTCAATTAGTCTGCTTCATTTGAGAAGTTAGCCAAAATTTAAAGATGTTATGTTTTAATATTAGGACAAGCAAAAAAAATTCTCTGGACATTGTGCTGGGAATTTTTTTCTGTTAACAATTCCAAATTGTATTAACTATTTAAAATCACATAATCTTACTAGAAAAAGTGTTCTGCTTTCCTAATCCATTGTCAATGCTTGACTACTTCTAACCTCCCATAAAATAATTTATATTATTTTTCCATTCAGCAAAGATTTTCAATTTATAAACAGCTTTCAACAAATAAGCCACCAATAACACATAACAGAAAATTTAAAACACATAAGCAAACAAAGCAGAATAAATGAAAAGGAATATATATTCCAGAAATTCTCACATAGCTTCACTTAAATTCATAAAATTTTAAACTCAGATATTAACCAGATATGCTATAGGCCTTGTCTATTTCCCAAAGCTGTGTAAGATATTAAACATGCAAATATAAATATCTATTCTTTACATGAAAAAATCATGTGTTTCCTATACTGCACTCTGTAAAACTGGAGACATACACACCACTGTCATTGTATTTTTGTTAAGGAAACACACCTATTTTTAAAGATACGTCATTAATTTCCTTTCTTATTTTAAACAAATTGGCGAAAATTACAGGACATTGTGATTCAAATTTCAAAATTCAAGTTGCCTTAGGATCATCATGGCCTTCACCACACACACACCCGGAGGCCCTTTCTGGCCTCCAGAGGGCCTCTGGGTAGTGGGGAAGGCCGTTTTCGCCCTCCCCAAACTCCTAGAAAGGTTCTGGAGGCTGGGGAGAGCAAAAAACAGGCCTATCGTGCCAGAAGCGGGGGGGGAGATGTGTGTGCATGCGCAGGGGCAGGGCGCATAAAATTATGGGTGTGGGCACATGCATGTGCGACACACCCCCCACTCTGGCACATGATGGCAAAAAGGTTAGCCATCACTGCCCTAGCGTTTACGAACAAGTCCTGAAACTACAAATCTTGTAGCACCACGGTAGTTGTTCACCCTTATGAGCAACCGCAGAGGCTCTGCAACATTCATCTTGTATGTCAGAGGGGCGCATGCGGCTGAGTGGTGGAGAGGAGACTCCTTGCTAGACCTTCACAAGGTAACTGACCCAGCGTGGCAGGTTGGGTGGGTGGGAAGCAATTGTGGGGAGCATGAGGTATTTCAGTGGGTCAGGGAGGCTTTGGATGGTTTTAGGAATATGGCCTGTTCCCCATGGCCTTCCCCACTCTGAAATACGTCATGTGCACTTAATGAGTCTTGCATTTTATTAGCGAAGGCGAAAGGAGGGAGTGATCCCATTCAAGGTACAAGAATAACTCCCACGAATCCTCGGGTTACGAATGGAACAGGCAGGCTCCATTGCATTCGTAATTCGAGGACTACCCATATTATCCTAAATAACTATCACTCAACAATTGTGCAACAGCATTTTTAGGAAACTTTTTTTTATGTATAGTTATTGTTTTATATTATATAAAACATGCATGTTTATTATAAGCCTAATTATTTTGTAAATATAGAAATAGCTAAAATAGCAGGAAATAATTTGGTTTTAGGAAATACTTAATCAAGAATTCAGGAAGCTAATAATCTCTTCTTATAAAAGCATTTATAGGGAGTAGTCAAGCTTCTTCCCTGAAAGGCAGATAGAACTTAATTTTACTCATAGCAGGGACAGAGCTGAATTAATGACATCTAGGCTTAATTGTACACTTCTCAATTAGTGCTAAAGGTTAAAATACTATCTTTGTAAAGATAAATCTTTATCTTTAAAAAAAGCAAACCATGTAAAGAAAAAATTGCATTCAATTTAGCAATGTATATTTAAAATGTATAAAAATCAGTTTTTATGTTAGTAAATGTTCTTAGCACATGCATAAAACTAAGCCACATATTTTATAGTCGACAATTGCTGTTTTAAAACATCGTTGATTTTTATTATACATGCTTCAAAATAGGGTATTATCACAACATCGAGTCCATTTTTTTTTTTTGCAAAAATGGCTACTGATTTTAAAAGCAATCTGTGAATACTACCCAGAGCCATTTCACTATGAGATAGGCAGCAAATAAATTTAATAAATAAATATGGCCATAACTTTAAAGACTTTTGTAATCATGATCTGAACAATGAAAAATATTTTTTCAATACATTTCTCTTGAAAGTGTAGAAAAAAATATTTCCTTTCAACCAGCCATTTGAACTTATGTGAATTTATTTGTTAATCAAATTCATATAACCATCCATCTCTCCCCAAAGTGGACTCTGGACAGTGCATAATTTGCATGTCACATGGAATTACTCCACACAATACACCAATATTGAAGTTCGCAGTTATTCAGAAAAAAATATATTTTTCATTTCGTACAGAATCACCTACACCAAAACACTGCAATTTTTAAAAAAGTTTAATAAATGTCAAAATATTCTAGTTTACACTCTATAAGTATCAATAGTAGGCATAGCAACATTACTAACTGGGTCAAAAAAAAATACCAGACACAGAAGAAATACCTAATGTAACAAAAAAATCCACCAACAGTAGGCTTTTTCAGCCATTAAAAATGTACTCAAATCCAATGTGTCCTTTATTAGCTGTTCTAAGATTTCAGTTGGCTAGGACGCGTCGAAGTGCACAACTTCTGACAACTTAAGAGTTGCAAGCATTCATGCCCCCACCCATCCTTTAGGAACAAAAGCATGCAACCACAACTGAAATCACCCTTACAATTCAAGTTGGATAAGATCAGAGTCCCTTACCAGGTCACACTAAACATTAAAAAAAACCACTGAAGTTAACAAGAATGACTCCTCGACACAATCAGCCTTTTTGGCCACTAAGCAAGCTACACCATCTTAAAATATTTAGCAGTTTAATTACACCACGCAACTACAACATTTCCCTCCCAGGTAAAAAAGCCACTGAAAGCCCTAGTCAAAAAATAATAATATATAGGCATTCGTGCCAGAGGAAAACCAGGCATGCTACGCGACCAGGCCAAGCCTAATCATGCTTATTAAACAGGTAACTCTTCACACCCATTATTTCCCCCCCATTCATTCCTTACCTCCTAGTCCTCTCAGCAGCTTGCCTTTTCCCAACACCCACCCACCCAACTCAGGGCAGATGCGCTTATGCGGTCCACCGTACCCTGCACCTGAACTCCCAATGCACCCTGCTTCCCCAACTTTGGGGCTTCTCAGCTGCTGCTCCTGCTCCTCCTCAGAATAGAATAGAGCTGGAAGGGACCTTGGAGGTCTTCTAGTCCAGCCCCTTGCTCAATGGATGCAGAAGAAAGGGGCCGTCCATGGAAATTCTCAGATTCTTAAGGCACCAGAGCTGAAGAAGCTTCTTGGATGAGAAGCGAAACGTCTTCAGAGGAAAACCAGAAAGTCCAGTTGCCTCTTGGAAAAAAGGAAAAAAATAAAAATAAAAGCACCTTTGGGACCAAAAGGGGCTGCTGGCTCGATGGAGGACCTCCAAAAGCCCAGGCACTTTCTTTCCTTCAGGGGCCAGCCAAAGGCTTCCCAAAAATAATAATAAAATAAAAATGAAGACGACAAAGCCCCCTCCTTCTATTTCTGCTCAGCACCGGGTCGTTCAGCAGCGGCATGCTGCCTCTGAACATGGAGGCTCCATCCCGGCTGTTAAGGGTCCCCAGCACACCCCACCCCACCCGCAATCTTAACTTCTCTCTAAAACCGACCTTTCTCCATCCATGATGAGGCAAAGCGTCCATGGAACTGAACTCCTAAGAAAGGGGCGAGGAGGATGGCACGGAGGGGGGGGGGGAGAAAGAGCAGCTCGCCCCTATGGTGGAGCCTCCGGACCCCCCGAGAGTTAAAGCGGCTTCCCGAGCCTTCCCCCCCCAACCTCGGCTCTTTCCGCATCCCTCTCCAGCCCCGCTTCGGTTCTTCCCCCGCTTCCTTCGCTCCCCCACCCAGGCGTACCTTCGCCCGTTTCTCCCCCCGGCAAAGCCCTCCGCCTCCACCGGAGCGGCGCGATCCTCTGCGGGGCTCAGCAAATGGGCGGGAAGAGCCGCTTCGGCCCAGCTGGTCCTGGCTCCCGCGAAGCCTCCGGGGCAAGCAGAGCCGCCACTGCTTCGCTCCGTCCTCGGCGCCGTTCCGCCCTCTTTTCCCTCACAGCGCTTCGGCTTTCCTCCCCTTCCCTCCTCAAAAAAAGAAACTTTATGACATCGCTAAGCTACAGGAACGGCCTCCCTAACAGCAGTGCGCCTGCGCCGAGCTCGGAGACGCGGGCGAGCAAGATGGGGTTAAGGCACCAGGACTACAGATCCCATAAAGGCGCTAGGCCAGAAAGATAATAGGAAAACTAGCCGGCCTTCCGAGAAGCATCGTGGGGTATGTAGTCTAGAACGGATTCTCCGCGTCTCGCCATTCCTTTGAAGCGTTGCATGCTGGGAATTGTATGCTCCATTTCGCAGCCTCCAGATCTGAAGTTGCATGCTTGGACTTGCCATCTGTTCAGGCAGTGACCCTTCCCTGTACTTAGCGACTGCAGAAAAAAAACTCTTCTGATGTTAGGAAAGACACAGAGATCGCTATCTGCATGGCCCTTTTTGTGTATGAAACCCTATAGAAATCGTGCATAAAAAGGGATTCCTTGCACTAAACATTATTGGGATGTTGGATATTTTATCATCGGCAAAGGAAGGAAGGAAGGTTTTTAAAACAGCACTCATATCTTCCACCCACCCAAAATTTAGTGCTAACTATAGCATTTAAATCATGCTCAGTAAAAGCCAGCAATAGAGTAGGCGGTGAGTGGACAGGGAATTTCTAGAGAAGATACCATATGTGGGCAGGTGAGAATTGTACAGTTGCCTTTAAAATAACTTAACATTGAAGGGAAGGAAATATTTGCTGCTGTTGAGCAGATTGTCCCTGGTTGCTGTTGGATTTTAAATCATTTAAAAAACAGAACCAATCATATTAGAACCATGTGTGTACTTCCTGGCAAGCATTTGCAAATAAAGACAAATAATTCCTGGCAAGTATTTGCAAATAAAGACAAAGTGCACTAATTTAAAAAGATGGGTGATAAACTTTTTCAATAAACCTTTATTGTATAAATACATCCAATATTTATACTCAAATAATATTCATGATAAAGTCAACAAATAATTTATTTTTTAGATGTAAAAAGTTTTTTAAGTGTTTCTAGATTAATATTTTTTGATTCCTTTAATATTATTAATGCATGCTAAGCCATAATCAAACAATAAAAACATGATATAAGTTGCTAGTTTATAGATTCATGTTTACAGATCAAGGGTTACATGAACTGTGTGTTATGGCAAAGGATAGGCTTTATCCTTTATTATAATGAAAGTTTTTGTGTTAAATATGCTAGATCTAATAATATGTTAATTTTTTTTAAATGCTATTGATTACCATTTGCTACAATACTCATACACTTAGGCATTTCCTGGCATACTTTTTCTGAAAGACGATATTTATTCCTGACAATGAAAGCTCACAAAGTAAGATGCGGTAGGTGGTAGTTATGACCACAACTGGAATTATGTGAGTTGCAGAATTTCCGTTGCTAAGCGAGTTGGTTGTTAAGTGAGTTGCACCCAATTTTATGGGTTTTTTTTGCCATGGCTGTTAAGTGAATCACTCTAGTTATTAAGTAAATCATGCAGTTGTTAAATTTGGCTTCCCCCGTTGACTTTGTTTGTCAGAAGCCAACTGCAAATGGCGATCACATGATCCTGGGACACTGCAAAATTGCAAATACATGCCTTTTGCCTAACGCCCAAATTTTGATCATGTGATTGTGGAGATACTCTGATTCTAAGCATGAGGACCTGTTGTAAGTCACTTTTTTCAGTACCATGGTGTTATGACCCAGGTCACCTACGCAGAAGCAGGTTTCTGTAGAGTCCTTTATTGCTCTGTTAAATTTTACAACAGCCGGTAAGGCTCCACCCCAAACTTCCCTCAAGGCCATTCACACCCACAAAACAAAAGCCAGCAAGAAACAAAACCAATTTGCAAAGGCAGAGAGGAAGTCCAAAGAGAGAATGTAAGCTCACAGGGCAAGGTTCACAGGGCAAGGCAAGTCCATGAGGCAAAGGCATAAGGCAAGGCACAGGCAGAAACACGAGTCATGGCTAAGTTTTTCCCAAGGCCGGGAAAGTCCATGCCAAAGCAAACAATTGTTCCTGACAAAGACAACCTCCCCCAGCCTCTGCTTAAGTCAAGCCAGCTGTTCCTTGTGAGAAGGGGTAGGTGGCCTTCTCTCGAGCAGCCTTGCAGACCTCCTTTGAGCTTGCCTCCGCTCTACTCCCCATGCCCTTGGATCAGTGGGGGAGGCAGCTGTTCCTCATTATAGGGGATCTGCTGCCTCTCATCACTGCCTGTCTGCAGCCGATCCTCCCCTATATCTGTGAGGGCAGGCAGCTCTCTATACGGTTGACCATCTCCCCAATGCCTGAGGCACCTAGGACAGCTTCATCTTCAGCCCTGGCCTCTCCAAACATTCCAGAGGAGGTGCCATTCCCATTGGATGGTCCCATTGGGCCTCTTCCTCCTCCTCCTCCTCCTCCTCCTCCTCCTCCTCCTCCTCCTCCTCCTCCTTCAAACTGGGATCCAATGACACATGGTAACTTTGAATAGTTGCTCGATACCCTATATCACTTTAGAGCTGCACAGAGAGATCTGCATAACCTCCAGATTGTTCCCTGTTTTTCCCATATTTGAACCAACTCTGATCATGTACTGTATTCTGGTACACATAGGGTTACCAGATGCTGGGCAAAAGGAGGCCATGTCCTCCTTTATTCCTCAGTACAGCAGGCGTAACCTTACAATCAAATATTGTCTCCGTTTTTTTAGTCTCTTCCTGAGCAGCTTTTCTTAGGGGCACAGCGCTTCCCTAATAAGTGTTAACCACAAGTTAACAAGCTCAGCTCTGTGCCTTTAATTAATTAAATAGTACCCTCCAGCCAGCTTGCACTGGTGCCTAAAATTGATAAGAGCTTAATCAGTTACAGATTGATGACTTTTGCCTCCTAACTGGCTCTAGCCTAATCCTGCCATAGAAAAACCAGTCTTTCTGATACTGGAAAAAAGAATTTCATATACATGTAGATCTAAGTACTTCTGGTTTGCAGTTTTTCACTGTACTTTTTGTCACAGTTGCCAAGAAAGTTAAACACCCATCCACCTAGATTTCCTCTTTTTCTTTGACTGTTCAGATATCTGGTAACCCAAGGTTCATGGTGCTTTACCTGGGGTTATGTATGCATCAGGCAATGGAGGAAGTTCCAGGGTACAATCATCTTGCATTCCCCATGATGGTATTAAAATGCAATATATGGTATGTTTTGAAAATGTAATCTTGCAGCAAAAATACTTTAGTTTCAGTGGTTTGTTGATGTGAAAAATATGGAGAAGGCACTAAAATTAACTATATACCGTCCCCGCCTCCTGGCAAGGATGTGCCATCCATAAATGAAGATCTTACCCTGATATGGGATGCAAAGTGAGCTGGTACTTAAGTGTACCCATGACAAAGTAGGTTCAGCAGCCAGAAATCTAAGCCCTAAGAGCAATGAATCGCTTGTCCTTCATTATGTACAGTCAGTTGTGGCAATGCAAAATTATGTCTTCCAATAGCTTTTATCTCCCAGATCCTTTCTTGTATCCTGCCTCATCGTGCAACAAGTAATCAATGGAAAGGCTCTCTTGGTGCCCAAAAAACATAGAGACGGATAAATCAAGTTACATAATAGAGTTTGGAAATATTTGCTGAGAGACATCCAAAATTTGGTTGCTAATCTGCAACACATGGCATGAAATTTCAATGCATCAGTATTATTTCATGCGGTGAAGTTTTTAATAATATGTTTACAAATTAAGATAAAGTATCTCCTATATCTGTTACTATTGTTTTCTTTAATATTCAATAATTATTTTTCCTTTCTTTTCTTTTTCATATGTTAAAGTTTCCTAAGCAAAAAGGAAAGGCAATACATATGCCATGGTACCTGTAAATTACTTTGTGAAGTACCCCAATGAATATGTTCATTGAAATATGGAAATGATATAGGTAGTCAGGCTGCTTCTGTGTAGATTGGAAGGCCCCGCAAGCTTGCTTTCAGTTCACAGTGCAGGGAGTAAATGAGGAGAGAGAAAAAGGTTTGCATGGTTTATTTCCATCCCACTGGAAATAATAGCAGGGAATTAAGTCAGTCCAGCTGAAGGGTGGTGAGGTATGCAGCAGATTCATAGATCTTTCTAGTAATATGTTTTTTCTCCTCTGTCTTATTTTGAAAGATACAATGGTGGGAAGGAAAAGGGAGTTTGACATAGGACATTTCCTCCAAAATCAGATTTCTTTCTCAACCCTCAGTGCATCAGGTAAAAACATTTTGGAATTACTATTGCTACAGTGGAATCTTTTTCTCTCACCTTCAGACAATCAGACAGTTACATACACATATTATCGTACTTTAGAGCCTTGGCAACATTAAGATGCCTGGAGTTAAACGTGCTGCCTGGGAAATTCTGAGAGTTGGAATTCATACAGTTTAAAAGTTTCCAAGGTTGGGAAACACTGCTTTGGAATATGAAACCATATAAATATTCCATAAATAGTTATTTTTAAAATGTCCAGTGGAAATTGATAGTTATTTTACTGGTCATGATCAGGTAAAACCAATAGATGGAGATGCTGAAAAAAGATAGAAATAAATACAATATTTTCTTTAATCAGATATTAAATTAATTTAGAATACCTCTACACAAACTTTCCATAATTATAAAATGATTTTAGTAAAAAACCTTTTAGTCTTCTTTAAATATAAAAAGTTAGCAAGGCATTGCTACAAATATTTGGAAATTCTGAGACATCAAAAACAAAAAATTCAACCCTATTATGGTTCCTTTCAAGACCAGTTATTGCTCTGACACATGAAACAATGTTTACAACCATCAAGTTTTGGTTTATTTTCTAGAATATTTAAAATCGGCCACGATGCATTAATTTTAAAACAGTCACTCTCATACACCCATGCTGAAACATTTATGCTTAAAATTTCTCAAGGATTTCCTGAATACTCAATTCTTACATATAAACACATCTTTGTTGCAAGCATAATTGTAGCGCATAAGGAAACAAAAGGGTAACCACTTCAACAATGAATGCAAAGTCAGCTGGAAACAACGGATTTTCATTATTAGCTACTTGCCTACCAAAGCTATGAAGGGTCACATGCTGTGTTTCTTTCTGTGTGGGCCTGCAGCTTTTCATAGACTCACAATTATTCATATAGTCCAAATCATTCTTCAGTAGGAGTCCCATAGCCAAGTCTCCTAGCACTATATGATGGGATGATTCATGAATAAAGGAAGAAAAAAAAAAAAACTTCTGCCACAAAGCTTGTCTTTATTCTTCTGACAACAACACTTGCATTGATCATTTATATAAGAGAAACTCATGGTGGTTCTGATGCCTCTTGTTCACGATATTTTGCGAACCACCATTGATGTGTGATGCTATTAAATCTTATGTATCTCTTTGCTGCAGATATGTAGGACATTTTATCCAGTGATGGAATTCAAATTTTTTTACTACCGGTTCTGTGGGTGTGGCTTGGTGGGCATGGCTTGGTGGGCATGGCAGGGGAAGGATACTCCAAAATCTCCATTCCCACCCTACTCCAGGGGAAGGGTACTGCAAAATCCCCATTCCCTCCCCACTCTGAGGCCAGCCAGAGGTGGTATTTGCTGGTTCTCCGAACTACTCAAAATTTCCGCTACCAGTTCTCCAGAATCTGTCAGAACCTGCTGAATAGCACCCCTGATTTTATCCCTTATTTTATGCATTGTGGTTACAACTGATCCTGAATCCATAAATTCTTCATTTAGAAAATAAAAATCAAATACGGGTAGTCCTTGACTTACAACTTTTCATTCAATGTCTATGGAGATTCTCAGGTCATGGTTGGCCCAAAGGTTCTTTTTTTTTTCAAGAGGCAACTGGACTTTCTGGTTTTTCTTTGAAGACGTTTCACTTCTCATCCAAGAAGCAGCTGCTTGGATGAGAAGCGAAACGTCTTCAAAGAAAAACCAGAAAGTCCAGGTGCCTCTTGGGAAAATAAAAACACCTTCAGGACAACCATTTGTTTAGTGACCGTTCCAAGTTACAACAGCACTGAAAAAAGAAAAAAAAAACCATTTTTCTCACTTAACGACCCTTGCAGCATCCCTATGGTTACATGATCAAAATTCAGGCGCTTCGCAACTGGCTTGCATTTATAATGCCTGCTCTGTCCCAGAGTCGTATGATCACCATTTGTCTCTTTCCCAGCCAGTTTCCAACAAGCAAAGTCATTAATCAGATTTGCGTAATGATTCACTTAACAATTGCAGTAATTCACTTAACAACTCTGGCAAAAAAGGTCATAAAAATGGGGCAAAACTCACTTAACAAATGCCTTCCTTAACAATGGAAATTTGGGCAACAGTCTACAAAGAAAATTTCTAAAAAATGTTTTATAGGTGGCAACTGTTACCAACAAGAATGGCAAAGATGTTCCAAAACTTATCTCCCAGATGTTGGAAATGTAAACAAATACCAGGTTCTTCCTATCATATGTGGTGGACGCGTCCTATGGCAAAAAAATATTGGTTAAAAATAAAAATGTGTTTAGAAGAAATGATAAAACAACAAATAGATCTAAAACTAGAGATATTCTTGCTGGGTATTCTACTGGAGAAATATAATAAATACATATTTAATTTTACATGTGGTAACAGCAGCGAGAATTGTGTATGCACAAAACTGGAAAAATGAAAATATACCTTTAGAGGAAAATGTAATAGAGAAAATACTAGAATGTGCTGAAATGTATAGATTAACATTGAAAATTAAGGATAAGGAGGAAACAGAATACTTTTTAACTTGGGAATTATTTTACCAGTGGTTAGAAAATAGAAACAGAAGTTAGAAATTTAGAATTAAGGAGGATATGTAAATAAAAATGAAGTAAATGTGTAATTAAATAATGAACATTGAATAAGGAGGATAATGTAAACATTATGATTAATAGATTTGGACGATAATGGCTACAAAGGTGATGGTTGTATGATGTTTATAATGTTTGATATTATTGAGTAATTATAGATAAAACCGAACAGAGCGTTTAATTAAATAACGGAAATGCTTAATAAGGATATGTGAACAATATGGTGAATAGATTTTGATAATAATAGTTATAGCTATTGTGTGTATAAGATTTATTATTTGAATTTAAAAGATATTATACTCAGTACACTGCCATTGTAGATATGGAAAATTTATATATAACAAAAGAAAATTATATAATATAAAATAATATTTTAAAAAAAGCAATGGAAATTTAGGGCTCAGTTGCATTCATAAATCAAGGACTACCCTGTACATCAAAACAGAGACAGCTTGGTGAAAGTGCTTGTGAAAAAAAATGGTATCTTAAATCAGCAGTATCATGTGATTATAAAAAAAAGATGGGATGTTATGCTGCATCAATAGAAGTACAGGTAGTCCTCAACTTACGACCACAATTGAGCCCAAAATTTCTGTTGATAAATAAGACATTTGTTAACTGAGTTTTGCCGCATTTTACAACCTTTCTTGCCTCGGTTGCTAAGTGAATCACTGCAGTTGGTAAGTTAGTAACCCAGTTGTTAAGTGAACCTGGTTTCCCCATTCACTTTGTCAGAAGGTCGCAAAAGGGGATCACATGACCCTGGGACTCAACAATAGTCATAAATATGAACCAGTTGCCAATCATCTGAATTTTGATCACATGATCATGGGAATGCTGCAAAGGTGGTAACTGTGAAAAACAGTCGTAAGTCCCTTTTTTCAGTGTCGTCGTAACTTTGAACAGTCACTAAATGAACTGTAGTATATTGAGGACTACCTGTATAAATTTCAAATCATGGAAAGGAATAGTTCCACTATATCCTACATTACTGACACCACAATGCCCATGTGGTATCCAGTACTGGGTACCAAACATCAGAAGATATTCCACTATCTGAAACAAGTTATCTATTATTTCAGAGGGAATCCAACAATAATCAGCATTATAGGAAGGCAGATTTTGGATGCCTCCAAGTAAGAGCAGTTGAAGAATGGAACCAATAATCCAGGAAGGGGCTTCCCTTCCTTTTGCTGACTGTGAGGGAGCAGAGGACGGGCATGCACTGTGAATGCTTTTGCTTGGATTTTTGCTCAGATTAGACATCTGGCCTCGGTCACCTAAGTGACAGCACCTACCTCTATGTACTGTATCTGTGTCTGATGCTGAAGTGAATGTTATCAATATCATCAGACGGAAGAAAGGATTGTCTCCAGATGAGCTTCAGGGATACATTAAAGATGTCAATTATTTTTTTCTTTTCTTTTAGCCCATAAATGACTACCTAGCTGTGCTGCCTGACTCATGATGTCTTGCTGCTATTTAAAAAGCCATTTCTCTTTGCACATAACCTATATTTAATTCTTAAGGCTAATTGTATGCGTTTTTTGCTGCAACCTTCCACTAAGGAGGGGAAAAATATGTAGCAGCATATTCACTTCTGCGGCTATATCCATCTATAGGAGTGCAGGCTGTACGCAATAAAAGCTGAAAATAGCCCCATCGTGCTTCCTTCCTCCATTGCTTGTTGTTTCCCCCAGTTTCTTTTTATTCCCTTTGTTTCTTTCCTGTTGTTCACAAATGATTATTACAATACACAACTCCAGTAGGAAGGGCACACATAGTAGCTCATTCACATACAAACAACTCTGACCTTTAGCTTAGCAAAGTTGTTTGTTTTTGATAGGAGGAGAGTTGCTATGTCACTCCAGGTAAAGGGTTGCCCTAATCTATTCTTTTCAAACAATGGCATTTCCTGAAGCCATTGGATCATCTTAAGTCAATGAATTTCTACTTTAGGTCATCCTGTCGTTTTATTTAGGATTACTCAGACAACATAATCAGTTCAATTCAATAAATCATTTTCATGCCATATTTATTGGTCACATCTGTTGCATATTTAACACAATCCCTTTGTATGCTTTATGAATGCCAAGAATGAACCAACTAAAGTTTACTACTGTTGCCATTCTGGGTCTTTGGTTTTTCCCATTTTTATTTTTCTGCTCAAAATGTCTGTAGCTATTGTGCTGTTTACAAATTGAGCCCTTATCCTTTTCTAGTGTAACAAAACCAACCAAGCCAGTTCTACCTAGGCAAAAAAAAAAAAAGTAACAATGGTTTTCTTATTTCAATACTCAATCTGGAAAGGTTTGTTCTTCTTTCTCCCACAGAAGCATAATTCCATGTGAAGGGAACTGTTCCTGAATAAATGATTTTGTAAAATCTTCTATGTAATGAATGCAATAATAGAATTTATCAATATATCATTGAGATAGAGAGCTTCTGCTCTCCTGTGGGTATCTATTTCAGTGTTGTTATTTTTATATACATCAAGTTTCTTTTTCAGAGACTTAGTTATGCTTTAGCCATAAGGGAATGAGAACGTTG